ATGTGAAGGTGAATTAATCAACATGACACGAGCGTGGGACAAAGAAAAATTCTGAGTCCCCAACAGGAATCGAACCCACGAGTGGTGGGCTGGGGAGGCTGCACTCGTGTCATGTTGATTAATTCAAGCGACATAAAAATAGATTTCTCTCTTGTATAATTGATAACATGGGAACTTCACCTTGTTCGAAGCGGATCGTGTTTACTCTCTATCACTTTAAAACAGTGAAACGTCGCCACCTCGCTCAAATGCTGACAGATATCTGACAATTAAGCACCACATTTCAACCTAAACTTAACTAGGACCCATAACATTGCTTTCTTATCTTTGTTAAGGTGCAACTCAACCTCCCCTCCCTGGAACCACTGCGGTACCTACTCCCCCTCCCCCTGCCACAACTCAAGGACCTCAGCCTCCCCAGCCCACCACTCAGCCGCCTGGAAATTGCAATGACGTTTATCCAAAGTACTGTCCTGATTATAAGAAACGAAGAATGTGTCAAACACATGTAAATTACATGGGGCAAGTCTGCAAGAAAACCTGCGGATTTTGCGGTAAGTTGGAGTAACCATGGTAACTGGTAAGGGAGAGCTCTAGGGTAGGATTTTTTTTCTGTGGGTTGAGTAAGGATTGTTTGTATTCTTCGTGATCAACCGGACGTATAACTAATCCAAGTCAGAACTGTCCTTTCCCAACAGAATACATAACAAGGAAACTAAACGATCTTTGTCGTGGACTAGTGTAACCCTCGCCTACGGCTCCTACTTCCATAGCATTTCAACTTGTTCCCTCAAACTTCCCCTCGTGTTTTTATAACTCGATAGAAACACAGAAGATGTTTTTCTTTCTTTTTTTTATTTTAGTTTCCACACACCTCCACAATACAAGTAAACATTTCAAGTCATCCGTCAAAAAACCAAGCAGCATCGGTTCCAATAAGATATTACTAAATATAATATACAGTGCATAGTCTGGATAGGTTTTAATTTGGCGAAAGGTATCAGTCTGGTTCTGGCTATGTAAATGAAGATGAATAAATGCTAGAGGGGAGAAGGCGGGAGGGTTGCCCTAATATGGACTTGCAACAAAACCAGCGGACAGTATGCATTACTCCTGTTACTTCAGGCAAAGTGAAGTAACAGGAGTAACGGGGTAACAACTGATGAATTTACCTTTTTCAGACAAGAGGACTTTGACAGGTCTGATATAATCATTGTCATACTGTTAGGTGGCGGCGGCTCAGGAAATTGTAAAGATGTGTACCCTCAGTATTGCCCAGGGTACAAACAGAATGGCATTTGTACTGATCCTAACTACCTGGACTATGTCAAGGAGGTCTGCAAGTTCACCTGTGGCTTCTGTAGTAAGTACTATTTGACATCCTATTCAACTCACGTTTTGGTACAGGTCTGTTATTTGATTTAATGTCTAATCACTTTTTATTTTTCTATTTCAGGTTAATTGAAATGCCCAGCCCCGGCCGGCCGTGAAACGAGAAATGGGACGAAAAACTTAGCTTGCTATTCAACGGAGAGAATTAATTTTTCAGTTACAAAGCCTTGTAATGTTTGTTGACGGATTTAATAGTGATTAAAGTGGCATGGATGTTACAATGACACATGAATATTTGTGTTTGGTTAGAGATGTGTTTTGCCCTGACCCTCCCCATGTGGGGGCTCCATCGAATTTTCCATGGGGGAGGGGGTGCATCTGAGTTCTCCAAATCAAGACCCTATTTGACAAAATACCTCATTACCTGTTTTCAAACCTTCTGATGTATCTGAAGTAATACGTAATTAAGTCGCCCTTTATAAAATCCAATGAAATCTTTTAGTTATCAGTCTCCCTTTTTCGTTTGCAATCGAAAATCCAGGTGAAAAGATGTGAAATACGGTTAATTTGCTTCGATGATATTGTTCCCTTAAAACTGAACTACACAAACTTCAGGGACCAAAATTGCAAAGCATTTGACCTTATTTCTGACCAAACTGCTCATCGGCAAAATAGCTTACATCCGGGATTACACACTCCAGCGCACTGTCTAAACAGATCGAGGGAAAAAACCTAATTTGTTAACAGACGAAAATAAATATGGTGAGGTGTTTTCGTGTGTTTTCCCGCCCTAGTAACAGGCTGTACTTTCTCGTCACGTTTTTCTCAAAAAAGGGCGGTCCTTGTTGGCTGATTAAGTACGCCCTCGTTACGTCATTAGCGATCGTTCAGATTGGCCGAAAATCGGCGGAGCCAAGTGACAGCTGGAAATACGTTTATTTCGCAGCCTATCCAGGGAGATGAACTTATTTTACCTTGTAATTTTTGAGCTGGCTTAATAAATTGGTCACAAACGAGATCGAGTGAAGAGTCGGCAAGCGTTCAACAAACGACCAAGAGTTAACAGCAAAATAAACGGAGAGGAAATGATAAAGCTAGCTTTCTTACAAGTCAACATTTACGACCTTTACACGATCGAGTCTAGACCGCCATCATAACGAAACTGACCAATCAGTCTACATCTCCCACAAGAGACTTCGAAAACACCATTGACGTACGGACCTCTTTATTTGACTCTGTAGAGTCCTGAAGACACACCATCTGCTCGGGTTGTCGAAACATTAGCACAACCGTATACTTCGTAGTTTCGTTTAGCTAAAATATCATCTTTTACCTCTCCAGACGGATCCAAAGAAGAAAAAAAAGAAAGAAAATCAAACTACCATTGATTTTGGTGTTTTGCCTTTGCTGATATTTATTTAGCAACTCATCATGATTATCTTTATCTTGTTGACAACGCTAATTTTAAGAGTAGATTTATTGTTGGATTATCCCAGGAGTTTTAATAAACTTCTCGAAATTCAGGTTACCACCAACACTTTTCCTAAGTGCCTCTTCGAATGCTTGTTCGTTTGATGTGATCAGTACAGGTCGATACAGGTAGGCTGAACATCAAGCGACTAAGTCAAATGCTAACAATATCGCTTGTGTGAAAGCGTTATTGTTTTTAATTTACGGTAGGTAAGTAGCCGTAAAATTTCCAATTACAGGGTTTTAGGGTAGTCTTACCGAAAATTTTGGCGTTTCCCTCAGATAAAAGTGATTTCTCACACAGATTAAAAAAAGATATATATATACTTTTTCAGTTCAATCTTCCTTTTCGTCTCTGGAATTGCAGTTTTAGTTTTATTTTGCCAGTAACTCAGTCTCGATGTCTGTGATCTGATCTATCTGTTTATTTAACCAAAGTCTGATCGAAAACATCTCAAAATTAAATGTATACTGTTAGTTTTTAATTTAGAAGACCTCTTTTTAATTTCGCTCTAAAAATACATTTTATCTTCCCAAATGTGTCCAAAAACTCGATTTTACCCGATTTATTTTTTATCTTCACTCACTGCTATTCACGTCGAAGCTGTATTTTTTATTCACTTGTCAGCTACATATAACTAACAAAAAATAAATAAATGTAAAATCACCACATATAAACTTAAAATAGATGCGCCGTGGCGTGATCTACATCAGCGTGAAAAATGACCTCTTTCCCAACTAATTTTCAGCTTACTTCTGACAGCTTATCGTACGAGAGAAACTCGTTCTGTTGTTGCAATGAAACCACTAGATAGCTGTCGCATATAAGAGGCATTTGTCTTCCGAAACTAGCACTCCTACAGAGTCCGCCCTCTCTCTTTAGCTTCACGAACATGTTGTATTTTTGTCATATTGTGAGATGTTCAAGCAGGTGTCTCAAGTCGTTTACAATCGGCATTGTTCGCTGACCAATCGGAAACCGAGCAGCTGCCATTACGGGGAATCGAGTGTGACCAAACAGAGCAAGACCTCGTTCATTTTGCATCTCCTTCCAATTACAAGTGCGATAAATTTGAGCGGCTCCATGTAATCTACAGTCATTAAGCTTGATTTTGGCATTGTCTGTTGCCTTTGTTTGGACTTTCTGGAAGCTCCTTTCGCCGTCCAACGTCATGATCGGTTTGCTGGTTTAGACAGCAAATACTTTCTCCGGCCAGTGCATGGCGGATAAAAGAGAACATCCGTTCACATATGTTGTTCGTTGGAGAAGTTCTGTGTTGCATGGTGATGTTGGTTAATCGACAGGGACAGCCTTGAAAACACTGATTGTCATTAAACATGTCGAATCCGTCGTTCGGAGGGCCAAGAGACCGCCCGAGTAAGTAATAACCGAAGTGTAACTTATTTCCAAGTTTACAACACAGCTGACTACGAATTGTTCATCGATGCGCGCCTTTGAAAAAAATATAGCGGATGTGTAGCTCTGCCGCGGCAATTCAAGTTTATAGAGTTTGACGTAGTAATTCTGTATATGCTCGATATATTTGCTTTTCATTTCGTCTCGTAATGTGGCGTTGCGTGGTGTACGGCATATTAAGACTTCTATGTGTGGTTGGTTGTTAAGCAAAATGACATGCGATTTAATGATGCGAAGGAAAAAAGACAATTAATTTTTATCTTGCTCGTAATTCTTCACAGACGTTTAGTTTCGACGTAGATCGATCAGCACTATTGTAGAAATGAGCCTTTTTAAAACTGAGTAAAGGAAAATTGCGGAAAAACGATTCCGAGTCTTGAAATCGCTTCGCGCGCGACCTCGTTATCACCTGGGGGTCTTTGTTTTGGAAAATTCAATTTTCCCAACCATTCCTCTGAAGATGTGTTTAGGAAGGGCTTATCGAGAGAAGGTTTAATTCACCGCAACCGGAGTTGCCGTTTTCGCATTCTCTTACAGATTTAATGTTTGTTTGAGATATTGTGATTTTGGAAAGCCAAACCAAATTCGTTTTTCACGGCAAATTTTACGCATATTATTTATGGAGGTTGTATTGTATTTACATGCTATGATTTTTAATAGCAAGGTTCATTCTCTTCTCTAGCAATATATTTATTAAATCGACTTTCATTGACGGGATTTCGGATTTTGTCGTTTAAGAAGAATACGTTATAAATAATTTTTATTTGAATCTTTCCGAAAATTATATAGAGAAAAATAGAATAAACTCTGGCAACAGTTTCCATCACTTTCCAGCATTATTTTGATGGATCAATACTTCCACTCTTTATGAAATGATATTACAATATCGGCATCACGCAAATGCCCAATAATTGGTAAATGAGTTATGGTAATGTTCATGGCATAATAAGTTACCATAGTAATGATACAAACCAGTGTTAAAAACACCCTTAACTTTAGCTTCAAGTGCTCGATGGATTGGTGAAACTCATGTATCTTTGGCAACTTCAAATTAATTTTACCAAAATTCTGTAGGGTAGTTGAGAGCCATTTTGAATTTTTGAAAATTTAAGGTGGCTCTGAACTCCCCAGTATGTTGCAAACTTACATCTATCACGACGGACCTTACTGATGTCACGCAATGTCAACAATTTTACATACTTTTTAAGTAAACGAAAAACCACCTCCATAGTTCAATTTATCATGCAGAATTGATGAAATCTATGAGGTTTCATAAGAATTGGTTGCAAACTAGTAATTAAAAACATGGGAGCCCAAACTTGCAAAGAAATGTATGCCAGGGGGCAAGCACCCTGGCATACATTTCTTTGTAAAAACTGGCAAGTTAGGGCTCCCATATTTTTTATAAGTTTGCAACGGTTTCTAATGAAGCTTTGCATATTTTCTAATATTCAGCAAGAGAAATCAAGCAGTGAGGTTTTTTTTGTTTGAGCCATGAGCAAAAGTGCAACATCGGTAAGAAGGTCCATTCGATACATTACACACAGGAATGATTGAGCACTGACCAGTGTTTTAGTAGTGATGCATTCTCTTGAGCATTCACTGTGTTTATAGTTTATGTCTCCACTGAAGAATACAAGTGTGCGCTAGAAACTGTTGTACATTAGGGTTAAACATGTGAAAATGATGGTGGGAGGTGTACCTGCAAATTGGGCTAACATTCTGTCCAGCAGGAGCAATAATTGAAAAAAACTCAAAGCCACATTGTATTACTGTAACAGAAACTTGGATAAAACTTGATTTCAAAAACTACTGGCATGGTGAACTATTCATTCTGTCAGTCTCAAAGTTCATGTACTTGTACATGTACTGTTCAAACACTGCTGTGCACTAGCTAGGACAGTTGATGATTTGTTTTTTGATTTGATTTGACTAGGAGGCTCCATCTGTGAGCCATTAATGCAGACAACAACAGCAGGAAGAGTAATGTTAATCCATCAGCTTGTGTTGAAGGGCGATTTGAAAGAATTAAAGAAGGAGATTGCAAGGGATATAGGTCAGTTCATGATAAACATGATTGTACAATTTACAAACTGCACATTAATTATTTACATGAAGTGATTTATCCTGTGGATAGCATTATCCAGCCTTTGAAAAACTGGGTGCAAGATTACAATGTATATACATGTATGTATTTACAGAGACATTGTATCAGAGACAAATTTATACATATTTTAGACTGTCTTCCATCATCACTACAGAACGGGTTACTCTAACTAATGTCCCTCTTATGGGAGATGGAAATAGTGCAATGATCATGCGATGATATGTTTATGTGAAATCTCAGGTTTGTATGACACTTGCATGCCAGGTGATGTTTCCCTAATATATTGTCTCAGTGTTATAATTATACCTGTGCCAGGCATTAATGTGTTGAAATTAAGATGTATTTCTCTTGAAGATCTTTTAGAAGGCAAGAATAGCCAGGGCATGACGCCATTGTTCCAAGCTGTCAGTTGTAACAACTTAGAGTGTGTTCAGTATCTTGTTACATCCGGTTCAAATATTGATACACGTGATAATGTCGGAAGAACTCCAGTTGCACTGGCTGCTTATCAGGTACATTTAATGTTAGTGACTATAACTAATCATTACCATTACAAAATATACATGAACAGTATGTCATGGCTCAGCTTTGCTTTGTTTTGTTTTGTTTTTTTCCTTTGCTGACTTGCCATGGCAAGTTCACCTCGTAAATTGAAGATCATACAATGTACATGTAGTCATCAAAGGTTCTTTTAATTTAAGTTGTTAAAATTCATCTTGCTCGTGGACTGACTTTTTTTAATTTGCTGTGATGTTATAATTTTGGTACAGGCTGTATTAACTTGTAAGAAAATTATCATTTTCAAATTCATAATGAACTATATAATTATGTAATGTTTCATTTTTTAGGGCTGGCATGATGGATTGTATTATCTACTTGCAAAAGGTGCCAATTGTTTGATTGCCGATAATTGTGGAAGGCTTCCTCTTCATGCAGCAACATACTTCAGCAATGAAAAGTAATTTTACTGCTTATTTTTAAATGCGCTGTCTATTTCTAGTGACACATTTGGCTGCTTGAAGCCTGATTGAGTAAATAGGAAACTCTCAATGTACAAATTTTAATCCCAGCCTCAAGTAGGGGGAGTTTCTTAATACTGACAATGTAACAGTAGGTGATGTACAAATAACCTAGTGACACTTACATGAAGTTGAATGTACACTGTAAGTGTGTGTCAAGTCTTCTGAGCTGCAGTTGGCTGTTACCATAAATTTCCTGTGAAGATTTAAAATTGGACAACAATCAAACCAAAATGTTTGCCACACTGATACACATGGATCTCACAGGGCTTTGTACATTAATTATTTTTATGGTCAATTCTCAGCTGTTTCAGTCAGGAGTAGAGATGTCAGTTTTATTGAGCTAGTTGCCCAGGGCTAATTAAGCCTATTTGAGTTGCCTAACACTTGCACTCACAACACTGTGAGGTTCACCTTCAGTTGTGAAGTCAACGTACAAATTCTCAATATTGCTTTACACAATCATGATTGGTTTTGTGTATTGGACATCAGATGATGGAACTTACCAATGCAATACATGGCATTACACATACAATCAGTAATTTTTTGTCTATTGTTCATTTTTGCTCATTCTGTGTGGTGCATTTAAACAGAATTTGCATGTTCTTTTCTCTGATAGTTCCCTTGAAGTTCTGTTGCAGCATCTTTCACTTCAAGATGTAGACGCTCGAGATAATGAGGTATAATAATGTAACCCTTACGTTTGTGTAGATGTAAGTGTCCCTTGGTCCCAGCTATGTATAGTCTCTACATTGTTAACTGCAGTGCCCATAAGCATCACCTCCCTTAATTACAAGGACACTTTTTTCTGGTCCCAGGGTTGTCTGCATCTGAGAGGCAGACTACATGTACACAGTACATGAAAGTGCTGCATATTATGTGAAATTATCAGTACATACATTGCATTAAATGTAATTGATGTGCATTTTATTTTCTCCAGGGAATGACTGCTCTTCATTGGGCTGCTTTCCATGGCCGAACAGGTCACGTCAGGTTATTAGTGGAAAAGAAAGCTGATCTATTGTCAAGAGACACTGATGGAAAACTGCCACTACATTGGGCAGCTCAGGTCTTTAAAATTTTCTACTGTTCTGCATGAATATAATTATATGGTTTATTTATCAAGTGTGAGGTCAAGATGGCTGGATATTGGGCAAGTTCTTTTTTTGCGTGTTTTATATGGCCTAGTTGAGGTCTGTAAACATGCAAAAAAGAGGCCAATATCCAGCCATCTTGACTGAACAAGCTTGGTTAATAAGAATATGTTATATGGAAAAAGAACACTATTTCTTGTGGGACACAACAGGTAATCCGGAGCAGGCAAGATAGCATTATCTTGCCTCCTTGGGTGGTCAGTCACAGCACAGGATTCGTTTCATCTTGCCCGCTCACGGGGCTTAAGCTATATAATATATAATAAGTAGTTATAATAATTATTATATACAGTCTTTTCACTCAGATACATGTAGTGTAGTACTTACAATGTAGTACAGTACAATGTAATTTATTTTGTATATATATGATTGTATAATAGATGTACATGTAGGTATAATGTTTCACTTTAATAGTCATACACCAAACCTTTTAACCATAGATACTAGTTACCTAGAATTGTACTTCCCTACTGTTACCTGTAGCAGGACTATTTCTGGGTTAACAGGGAAGTGCTGTGAAAAAGTCACCCAAAGATTGATTGTGTGATTAAGTGAATGAACAGAAACCAAATTTTATTTTGAAAGCCTGCTTTTTTTAAGTCATTTTTTTTTCTGTTCAATAGAATGGCTACCTACAAACATGTCAAGTAATGCTAGAGGTAAGTGACAGCCACAACCTGGTCAATGGAAAGGACTTCTCTGGACGGACACCCATTCACCTAGCAGCTGCCGCTGGACAATACTCTGTCCTGGTTGAGTTCACTTCAGTGGCATTTGTAAATATTGAAGCCTTGGATAATAATGGCAGGTACATGCATGTCGTAGAATGATGTTATGGTTCAATTTTTACCTCAGTCTCAGGGCTTGAAAAAAGTGCCATCCAGTCATCCGCGACAAGTAAATACTCCTTCTGGGCAAGTAACTTTTCGCTCTCAGGGCAAGGGATCAGGCAAGTCGTCTGCCAACTAAATCATTAAAAGAGCAAACTAAGAGTTGCCTGGGGCAAGCAAAATTTTAGAGCTACCTGTCCCAAGGACAAGCTAGAATTCAATTTTAAATTTGTTCAAACCAGTTTATTTTGTTCTACCAGACTGTTTTTTTCTTTGCCTGAATGGCTGTATACAAGTCTGTAGTAATATAACATACTTAGACGTAATGTAACATCAAATCATCATCATCATCATCATCGTCGTCATTTGGTTTAGTCGGCAGATGACTTGCCTGGTCCCTTGCCCAGCAGGAAAATCTACTTGTCCTGGATGACCAGACAGCACTTTTTTCGAGCCCTGAAAGTTTGTGACAGTGTCTGTGGTACATACATGTATGTCCCTATTGCGTGGTCCTTAGTGTGGCTCACATACCTTACAGTTGTAATTGCAGCCTCATATGTGTCAAGTGTTATATTCACCGTGTTGATTGTAGGACCCCACTTCACTGGGCGGCAGCAACTGGACATGCCCCTTGTGTTGCTCATTTGCTGAGGCTTGAAAGCCACAAGGATGCTGAAGACAAACATGGTGGAACACCATTTCAATATGCTCAACAGGGACACCACTCTGCATGCTGTCAGCTGTTAATAGATCATGATCCAAACAATCCTCTTGCCACAGAAATACCAGTGAGAAGAGGTAATACTTGTTTTGTTAACAATTAATTTGTTCCTCTGACAATTTTTAGAGCCTTGCCTGGCACTCACAGACTAATAATAGTGACTCTGTAATTACTTGTACATGTACTATACTAGGGTGGCAGTAACGGTAAAAAGAATAGTGAGATGGGATGGGACTGTACAGTACATGTCATTCAAATGGGCAGAATTGAGATACTGTACAATATACTGTTATATATTTTAAAATAACTGACAGATATTCTGGGCTCTCATTGAATTGGTCAGTAGGTGTGTTCTGAT